AGCAGCTCCCTGATATGTCAGATCGTACCCTATAGCCTAGCCACACTGAAGTAGTGAGACTGCTAATAAAGCCTTAGCACTATGTTTTAGTTATAAAGAGTGGACCCCAAGGTGGATGGCTTATGGGAGAACAATATTGCTTCAAACCCCTTTATTGGATATACACTTTAATGTGGTGATGGGATTTGAGTGTGTCAGAGAAACCAAGAGCAATGCTGTCAAGAGACTAGACTCTGTTATGAGCCTGGATTCCTAGCAGGGTCAATCAAGGCAGAATGTTCACAACTGAGGCACCAGATGTAAGATGCATCTACCCTCTTCAGGAGTAACAACCATATTAGCTGAAAAGAATGGATAGTTCCAATGGTGATGGGGTGGAGAAACCTCTAGAGGGCAGTTACTGGGCAGCAGCGGTAGCTGAAGGTGATTGTGGCAGGTGATATTTCACAGACAGCAACAACAACAATCTAGCTTAAGTACTAGTACATACTAATAACTATACAGTACTAATGAGGACTGTGCAAAAGACAACAATGGTAAACCACTTCTGAACCTTTAGACAGTCCAAAATGGAACAAAAGATAATGCTGGAAGATGATACTGTACTCTCAGGTCAGAAAGCAATCAGTTAGCTACTGGGGAAAAGTAAAGGACAAGTACGAACAGTGGTGTCACTAATGATGCAACTAGATTAAAGCTGAAGGGACATCTGGTTGCTGACATGCACAGATTAAAGGAAAATCTGATGCTGCACAACACATACAATTAGAACATGGAACATAAAAAGTGTGAATCAAGATAAAATAGAAACATTCCAAGAAATGGAATGTTTAAACATTGCAATGCTTGATGTCAGTAAACTAAAGTGGACTGGTATGGGGCATTTAATGTCAGACAATATGTTTTACTCTGGAAATGACAATTTCAGACAAATCAAGTGGCCCTAATAGTGAAGCAAGATTGCATAGGCAATTAGGAGCTATAATGTAAGTTCTGACTGAATAATACCTATCAGACTCATATGAAAACCTATCAACATAACTATCATCTAACTAAAGATACTGAAGAAGATGAAATTGAAAATGTTTATGGACTAATCCAGGACCAAATTGATCACACACCAAAATAAGACATGTTTATAATCATAGGCACCTGGAATGCAAATATGGGAAACAAAGCAGAAAGCAAAGCAAAATAAGCAACGCAAACTGTGCTGCTTACATGCATAGCACTTCAAGCACTCTCTGAGTGGTTTACAATTTAATAATGCAGGCTACATATTGCCCCCCACCCCGTGAGCTGGATACTCCATTTACTGACCTCAGAAGGATGGAAGGCTGAAATAATGTTAAGCCAGCTACCTGAGACCATCACGATCAAACTCGGGTCATACTGCAGGATTGCAGTTTAATCACTGCACCATGAGGCTCACTCAATCAAATATGTTTAAATATTTTGGCCTAGGGGTCAGAACTGAAACAGGAGAACAACTTGTATATTAGTTCTGTGAAGCCACGAAACTGTTTATCACAAATGCGTGTTTCAAACAATCAAACAGGCAACTGTAGATGTGGACATCACCAGATGGAAAATATAGGAATCAAATAGACTATATTTGAGTGGTCGTATAGACCAGATGGGTGGGATACAAACAAACAAACAAACAAACAAACAAACAAACAAACAAACAAACAAACAAATAAACAAACAAATAAATAAATAAATAAATAAATGCAGGAGATGGAGAAGCTATATTCTTTGTGCCAAAACAAAACCAGGAGCAGATTGAGGCACATGAAATGTTAATATCAAACATTAGAGTAAAGCTGAAAAAGAGCACTAAAAGAATCCTAGTACAAAAATAATGCAAGAACAACAACAAAATAAACAGACTGAGTCCAGGAAACTATCAGGGGGGCAGTGGAATTCTAGTGCAGCTAATATAACATGTACCTGCACATATTTCCAAATCAAGAAAGGTCCATAGCAATCTGTACACTTGCTAACACTTCTGAGTCATCTTCAAAGCCAACCCCGCACATTATGGAAGTATTGTCAGGACACTGAATACAACATATACTGAAGTCTTTGTTGTCCATGAGAAAGTGGACTTAGTATCAAAGCTGATGCTAGTGAAACATACAGTACCTGGCCACAAACCCACAACCACTATTTGAACACAGGGCATTCCCAAATTTTCAACATCATTTTTCAGGAGAAGTGTGACTCTATTTAAGACTGTTAAATTAACAACTTTGGAAGCTGCTCAACATCGTAGAAGGAGCAAATCTTATCTTTGTTTTGTTTCAGTTGATTCGTTTATACTATTTCCATTACTGACTTCAAAACAGGTACTTAAGTACATCTACAATTAATTTGTGAACTGATTCAGAGGAAATACCTACACTTTTCTGTCTCATTTGTTCACAGATATTCTTAGCTATTCCTTGATTATTCGAAATGGTTTTATAGTCTATGAGCAAGGCCAGATTTCAACCAACTTCCTCTCCTCTGTTTGTTCACCTACCATATTTTATTGCATTCGTTGTAGCCCAGTTTTAGACTTTATTGCAAAATTTGCACGCAAGACTTACTCTTCCTATAGAAATAATAAGCTGGCATGTGTGGGTCTGATTACAAGTTCCTCTCCTCCCCCTCCGCAAAAACACACACACACACACACTGTTAATTGGATTCAAACTGAAATAAATCTTCCTGTGAACTAAAAAGCAAAACACAGCTGTTGATACAATGTTGGATACATGTTTGTATTGACAGTTTTACAGAAGAGCTGCCATTTGTTTACACCATTTGTGTGTGAGTAAGATAGTTAAGTAAACAGCCTCTGAGTAGCACTCATGTGAATCAAGTCTGGTGCTCCAGTCACCTCAAATCCAGCCCTGGGAGTGTTTCCTTGCATATTTCTAGCTGACTGAAGTCAAACAGAAGTTGATCCATCCAGTTTCTGCTTGTTTCTGCATCTTTATATTATCCATTCCACTTATGAATGCAAATTATGAATGCCAGTGATCTGTTCTCTAAAAGGTAATGAAGGTGACAGTCCCATGCAAAGGTGCCTGGCTGAGAGTAAGCTCCATTCCAAACAGTAGATCCTACTTTTGTGTAAACATACATTACTGTCACTACTTTGAATTAGAGAAGGAAGAGGATGAAGGAGCATTATTAAGCTATTTTATCACTCAGAATACACTAGAACTTGGGTCAGCAAGTAATAGATTTCATGTTGGCATAACCAAGACTTTATATTGCATCTAGGCATATGGGAAGGAGAGTAAAACCACACTAATCACACAGTTGGATGATTGTATTAGAAAAGAAGGCTCATATAAGAGCCCCTCATTCCAATACTCATATAAAATATTAAACTGTGAAAGTTAATGACTGACAGATGTGGATTGTTTCTCCTCCCTGAAACTTGAATGGAATTCCATGTTATTTCTTTATAGAGTTAAAAACATATGTGTGAGGTTTTATATGCTACTCCAAGAAAAGGTCAGATCTCCATAAAAGATACTGCTATTGCTTGAGAAACCAAAGTGTGTTATAGTACAAATATAATTGCAGTTAAAAGTAAATCATCTTATGGAGCCACACCAAACATTTCTGAAAAGCTTGTCTGCTATTCTGTCCACTGGAATGAAAACATAAGATATTACTTTAGGAGAAAAGTAGTCATAATTTTATTAACAGACACAAAACTGGAAATAAACTACTATATATATGCAGAGGCCCCTTCATGCCTGGGACTTAATCTATAATGTATACTCCACTATCTTATCAAGACAATTCCATCCTGACTCAAAGCACTACATAAACTGGGTGCCAAACTGTGTTTCTTATGAGTTGCCCACCATGACAATGAAGGTGGCTGTTCTGGCCAACATTCAGCAGGCAAGTAAAAGATAGACATGGTGTACTAGTAGATCTCTAGTGGTTTGTGGCAGGATAGCAAGAATTTCTAACTCCTTATTGTCTGGCAATACCAACAACTAAAAGTCAAATTACACAGTAAAATGGGCTACTGGAATTAAGATAATTTGAGTGAAAATGAGGAGTGGATTTTTATTTGAGGCCTCAGTCCAGAAGTATTATTCAATTACACAACGACATACTAAAGCCCAGCAGACTCATAGGTCTGTAGAAATATGACTCTAATAGGATATTGAAGATAAGCGAGCTATTTAAGGAATGCTGTTGGCAGTGCCATACCTCCCTCCCCACATGTTTCAATAGCTGAGCAGGCATTTGAACCCAGGTCTCCTAAGTCTTAGTCTGTCGTTCTGTTGACTGTGCCATGCCAGGTGTCTTAGTAGTATTGTCTACTACTATGGCAGGAGTTCTCCAGAGTTTCAGGGAGACACAATGCTGTCTCCTCCTCCTCCTCCTCCTCCTCCTCATCATCATCATCATGCTCCTGACTGCTTTGACTGGATGATGGAGATGGCTCGTGGGATTTTCTGCATACAGCCCACACGCTTTGCTGATGAACTGTGGTGAGCTTTTGGTATGCACAAACAGTGAGAAGGTAGTATAATCCCAGGGGAGGAAAAATGAGTAGAAGAGGCAGGCATTGCTTTACATGGCATGGGCAACCCAGGAGTACAGAACAGAGAGAGGATAGACAAGAGTAAGTCAAGTTCACAAACAGATTGGATTAAGTTGTTTTTCCTTACATTGAGGGCTGCTGGTGGTTGTGGTGGGGAAATGGCTGTAGCCTTTTCTCCCTGTAACTGATGGTAGCCATAAACTGCCATAGACTGAACAGATTAAAAACTTGTGAGAGGAACATGCCAGCAACGGCTGCAGCAAGTGGCGTGGAGGCACAATTAGTGTTGTCACAGTGGGAGCTAGAGGGAGGCAGATAGAATAGATCCAGTCTACAGTAATTTCTGATCTCTGGTCTCTCTCATTCTCTCTCTCGCTCCCCCTGCCAGCCAATCAGATTGCTGCATGCTGAAAAGCTAGCTGCCATGGTTACCATGTAAACAGTTCCTTTTAGCAGCTGCTGCTGGGTGAAGTCGGCGTTGTAGTATCTCTGTGGGATGCACAGATTTTAAATACAGATTTTAAACTCAGATTTTAAACCCCTTCTCAGTTCCTGGCATTTTGCTGGATTGTCCTCTCCTCTGCCGGCAACAGCAGCTGCTGCTTATTCTGCAGCTTCAGAGGGCCAGGGGCTTCTCCCCACCATCCAGTCAGAAGACAGACACTACGTTCAAGACCTAGAGACCATGTCTGAAGGTTTTGTGCCCGCTTCTGCTAAAAGCAGCAAGATCAAGAGGAGTAGCATTGTTATGAATGTGTAAGTACCCCTGCATTGCTGTGGAAGATCGTCATGATAATGATGGCTTGGCAGAACAAAGGATGTTATGGGATGTGACGGAAAAGGTGGAAAGGGCATTCCTGGCAAGGCTTTTTGTTGTTGTTGTTTTGGCCAAAGCAATATATAGGTGATATAACTGATTGAATTAAAGAGGGAAAGAACTCAATGGAGTAACTGATCTTGGATGGAGTAGAGGGGAGAGGAGATAAAGAAGCTAAGCTACCCTTCCCTAGGTACCTCCATCTTGGTGAATGCCCTCTCAATGCGCTCTACGTGGGGCTACCTTTGAGGCTGATGTAGAAACTTCAAGTGGTGCAGAATGCAGCGGCCAGGCTCCTTAGTGGAGTGAGAAAATTCCATCATATTTCTCCTACATTGGCTGCCCATTCGGTTCCGCATTGACTTCAAAGTGTTGATGCTTACGTATAAAGCCCTAAACGGTTTAGGATATCGATATTTGACGCAACGGCTACTCCCACCAAGATCTACCTGTATCACTCGTTCGAGTCAGGAGGTGAGGCTGAGGAGCCTGCTGAGGGAGGCCCGAAAGGAAAAAACAAGGAATCGAACCTTCTTGGCGGTGGCTCCTTGCCTCTGGAACAACCTCCCTCCAGAGATTCGTGCGGCCCCATCGCTGGGTATTTTTAAGTCCCAACTAAAAACTTGGATGTTTAAGCAGGCCTTCCCTCCAGCTAATACTTAACTTCTTCTTTCTTCACTTATCCTTTGTTATCTTTCCATCTTGAAGAATTTGTTTATTGCTTGTTGTTTTATAATTTTTAAGTTGGTATTCGTATTATTTTTTATTTGTCTGGAAGCCGCCTAGAGTGGTTGCAATGACCAGATAGGTGGGGTATAAAACAAACAAACAAACAAACAAACAAACAAACAAACAAACAAACAAACAAATAAATAAATAAATAAATAAATAAATGGGGAGTATCTCTAGGAGGAGATAAGCAGCACTGATTTTCAGTTTTACAGCATTTGATAATTCCATCCCATAGTTAGTCCTAATATATTATTTTGAAATAAGAGAACAATGTGGTTGAGCGTATGAAATATGTACAAAAGCATTGGGCCAAGGCCAAGGGTTGGGTAACTGTGGTTTTCCAAATGTTGATGGATTCTAACTGCCACCCCTTTCACTTTTGGCTGTGCTGTTTAGAGCAGTGGTTCTTAATCTTGGGTTACTCAGGTGTTTTTGAACTGCAACTCCCATAACCGCAGCCAGCACAGCTGGTGCTGAAGGCTTCTGGGAGTTGCAGTCCAAAAACACTTGAGTAACCCAAGGTTAAGTACCACTGGTTTAGAGCAGCTATGAGTTGGACTCCAAAAACCTTTGCGGAGTTTCAGACAGTTAAGTGCCCTAGTCCTATATGATAATGAAAAACAAAAGAAAAGTCATGTGATCTATGTAAACAAACTGCAACCAAAAATGTATCATACCTTTATTGGACAACTAAAATATTAAAATACCTTAGATCTTCACTCAGGTTGGGCCCTGCAGAGCTTGATGTGGTAGGGAAGAGAGGAACTCTCTCAACTTGTGCAATGACAAGCATGAAGAACAGTTCTTCTGGATTTAGTGTTTACCAATTTTTACAGTTTTATGATCCAATAAGTTACCAATCACCTTTGATTTGGGATTTTGTCCTCTATGGTGATCATCGTTGTTATGGGCCATCAAGTCAGAACTGATTTGTAGCAATCATAACAGGACTTTCAAGGCAAGTGAGATATTTAAGGTGTGGTTTTACCAGTTCCACTCCCCCAGTGAATTTCCATGGCTGAGCAGGAATTCAAACTCAGGCCTTTGGAGTCCTAGTCCATCTCTTTATCCACTATACCACACTATGTATCCCATGTTATTATCATATGAAAATCTAAAATTTGAGTGCCAACTACAAATCCCATCAAAGTATTTCTAATGTAATTATACATTTCACAAGTCTTTTCAAATCTAAAACAACATATTTAGGATTGAATCCAACTGGTTGTTCCAGCTTGAGTAGATGTCACAAAATGGGAAAAGATGTGATGATGGTTTCAGTTGTCTTTGAAACTTAGAATTGATAGCTTATGCTGGGATGGATAGGACAGAAAAGAGGGAGAAAAATTGCCCATTAATTGGAAGGTTTTTGCCAGCTTTGTTTTAACAGTGTGTGAAGGAATTTCTAAAAAGCCCCAATTCTGTCACTCCTGATATCAGCTAATTAAGAGAACAAGATTCAGCTGAAAAGAAGGGAGGGAGAAAGAGTAAAATTACTTTGGAAAAGTTACTCTCTTCTTCTGGAAGATTCAGGGTTACTTGAAGACTGATTAGTAAAATGTGCTCGAAAGATCTAGAAGGATGGATGATGACTATAAAAATGGCATAGAGAATACAATGATGATGATGATGATGGAACTGTAGAGCTGGAAGAGACCCTATGAATTATTGAGTCCAGTCCCTGTCAGTGAGGCACAGTGGGGAAGTGAATTCCCAACCTCTTGCTCTACAGCCAGATAGCTAAATGACTGAGCTAAATGTGCTTAGTTTAGCCTAGTATCTCTGAGAAGAATGCTACACTCACCTGCTATCTTGCTACCTAATTTATACTCTGAATGTGCCCTGGAATTATACTGAAGTTCTGCTTCAATGTAAGCAATAGAAATTGGCATGAACCTCATTTTGGAGGTTTGTCCTGGTGCATATGTGCAGCACCACAGGTGCTGTGCATTCCCTCGCTTCCCCTGAGAATGCCCCACTCCCCTGTCAGAGTGTGCCCCTCTCCTCCTCCTCTTCAGCTATTCCACAGCAGAGGCAGGGGCTTGCCTGTTCCACCTCCTGAGTGGATGATCAGCTAAGGAGGCAGGGCAGAGAAGCCCATGCTCCTGCTGGGGATTAACTGAACAACTGAAGAGGAGGAGAGGAATGCACACTGGCTTGTGAGTGGGGGATCCAGCCGGGGAGGTGGGGGAAGGGAACACATGGTACCAGTGGTGCCACACGTACAAACTGGCATGAACCTCTGAAACTAGGTATGTGCCCATCTCTAGTTTAGAATAGTTTGCTTATTTTCTGTGGGAGCTGTTCTGGGATTGTCGTGCCTCACACCTTTTTTTGAATGTGTATTCACTCTACAACTTTTGAATGCTTTCGCAATTTAGAACTCACTTTTTGAAACTGCTTGGAACTTTATTTCTTTTTTACTTTTTTGCAACATATTTAACAAAATAATAAAATTTTGCAGCAGTTTGGTGATTTTGAGAATTGAGGGTTGGCTGGTATTAAAGACAAGCCTTCCCTCATACATTTACCAAATCCTTTATAGTTTGTGAGTATTTTTGTATTCCTACCTGGCAGGGTTGGTGTGCAGGTTAAAGTGAGCAATCATGTGATTTTTAAATTTTTTTTTATTTTTGGTATCTCCCTGGAGCACTGAGGAGTTCGGGTGACTCAAAGTGTTGGGATTTCCCCCTGCCATCAGCACACTGACCCCTCCTGGAGTTTAACAACACCAGGGAAGTCTGGGTAGTGTGGCTGAGTGGTTTGTGTGGGCCTCGCTGTCCCAGTCATAATCTTGGCAGTAGACCTAATAAGCTTTACATAAGCATTGACTCATCATTTAGCCCCTAATTCACCAGATCTACTCAAGATGGAACTGACAACTGTACATAGGCCTAAGGCCTGAATAAAATTAAGTTGTTATCATAAGAATAAAAAACTATCAGTTTTTTAATTTTGAGTTTTATTTATCCTAAATGTTAATGATAAATTACAGAGAAGAACTGGATTCTGTTTTTCTGCACACAGAGGTCTCCTCTCCCTTTGTCACTGCAGGCTCGAATGAAGCTTAATATACAATGCAGAACACTTGAAGTCTTCACCAAAAAAGAAAAAGCAGTGAAAGCCTTGGGCCTTTCTCCTTTTTAACTCGATTGAACTTCTTCAAGCCCATCTCCAAACACTTCATTCTCCTAACCTGCTCCTCATATTGGGTGTGTGTGTGTGTGCCTGTAACTTTCCATCTGTTGGCTCTGTCCTGTGTCCCCTCAGGGGCTTTGTAGTTAGCACCCAGCTTTTCTATCTAAATGGTAGCTGAGGGACAGCTGTAATAAAGATTTGATAACCTGGCAATGTGAAACAGTTCCTACCAGTTATCATTTACTTTTCTCATGTTAGGCAGTTCTAAAAGAATGTGCATAAAGGGTGACTTATTGAAATTGAATGTATGTGAACCCACACACACTGGATGCAGATCTTTTCAGACTGTCACTTACTGAATGTTATTCCAAATGCATAGGGAATAATAAAAATGAATTATAAACAACTGATAATGAAAGCTGACCACTTCAAATGGTCCCATTTTGAAGCTGCTAATCTGCTGCACAATCTCATTTGCTGTATTCAACCAGGACTGCAAAAGACCAAAGTGTGCCTAGGAAGTTAGTATCCTCTACAACTTCTGCCACGAGACGCATGAGTGTCTATAGTACTATGCAAGCAAGCAAGGTTGGATCATTAACTCGCCGTAGCATCCTGATAACCTCCGAGGCAAAATCTGTGGATAAGGGTTCTTTGGCAAGTTGTAAACCTCCTGTCCAGGTAATGGGGTGGCATTATGGTGGTGAACCTAGTAGCACAAGTGAGTGTATTGACACCTCCGTCACCAGTGCTAAATTCTTTCAACATCCATAGTTCTGGTGAGGGAAAACAGCATGCATAGAATAACAGATGGTTTAGTTGTACACATGTCTGGCTGTGGGCTTCCCAAGGACATCTGATGGACCACTCTGTGAATAGAACTTTGGACTAAAAAGGATTCTAGTTTGATCTAGAACTTTTCTTGATGTTCTTAGCAGTGAATGCTCCCAGATTCTTGGGTAAGCATCTCTTTTTGATGAACCCCTAAAAACAACACTAGAGAAGATGATATACTCGGTCATTGTTGAAAACTATTCTGCTTTCCAGTCTGCCATATATTTTAAGGTTCACTAATATCTAGCTGCACATTTTCTCTACACTAGTCTTGTAGATTGCAACTAGATTATGTGATACAACTGTGCAGTCCATCCTATAATGCTTTAAAATTTTATTTTAATTTTAAAAATATTTTTATCAAGTATCAGGCAATGTCTTTAAAAATGCCACCAAAGTGATTCAAAATAAAGCAACATTAAAATATATGAATTTTAAAAAGGTGAAGCTACTCAGATGTCCCTATATTAAAAAAACAAAAAAGCCAAAACCAGAACTGGCCTAACCATTTTCTAATCATCAGCAAAATTTTGACAAAATAAGAAGGGTTTTGCCCTCTACCTGAAAATCACCAAGGAGGTCCTGAAGATACCCAAAAGTGGTCCCCAGGTGACCGCAGAAAACATACAGGTATATTCCATGGCACCAAGTTGACTTACTTCTGGGTAAGTGTGTGTGTGTGTGTATGTGGGGGAGATAGTAACTTTGGACTGTAATCCTATAATCACTTACCTAAGAGTAAGCTCTGTTGAAATCACTGGAAACATATCTGTGAACCGACAATCACAGTGTTGGTCAATTTCTCATCTGCATATCTAGTTTCAGAATTTTGGAGAAACAGAAAGATAAGTTTGTTATTATTTTGTTATTTTATTGTGTCTGCAGGTTTTCGATGAGCTAGGAAGAGATGTGACACCTCGTCCACTTTACCACCCAGAACCAAGTGCTGCAGTGCACAGACAAAGCAAAATCTTATCAGCCCAAGATTTTGCTGGACTGACTCAGAATGAATTCCTATCCTCATTCTCTGCACAGCAAGCATCTGGAGCCAGTATTAGCCTGGCTGGCCCATTCTCCAGGTATGATATGGTAGCTCATGAAACCTTGCTGAACAAATTGTATGAACTCCTTACCAATTGGCCATGCACAGAGTATTCAGAAGTGCTAGAAGTAGGATTTGGTGGCTAATGTTGTATATTTCTGGTGCATTTACTTGTATCTAATAAAAATACAACAAGGGATGTGGTGGTGCTACAGGTTAAAGTGCAGAAAGCCTCTGGGCTGCAAGGTCAGAAGACCAGCAGTTCAAATCCATGCGGCGGAGTGAGCTCCTGTTGCTTGTCCCAGCTCCTGCCAACCTAGCAGTTCAAAAGCATGTAAAATGCGAGTAGATAAATAGGTACCACTTCAGTGGGAAGGTAATGGCATTCAGTGTCTAGTCGTGCTAGTCACGTGACCACGAAAACTGTCTACAGACAAATGCTGGCTCCATGGCCTGGAAATGGGAATGAGCACCACCCCCTAGAATCAGACATGACTGGAAGGAAGCAAAACCAGGGAGCTGGACAGGGGACAGATTGGATTTGTCTCCAGTGTGGAAGGGATTGTCACTCTCGAATTGGCCTCCTCAGCCACACTAGACGCTGTTCCAAGTCCTCCATACAGAGCACGATACCATAGTCTTTCGAGACTGAAGGATGCCTACTAGAAATAGGTACCACTTCAGTGGGAAGGTAATGGCATTCAGTGTCTTGTCGTGCTAGTCACGTGACCACGAAAACTGTCTACAGACAAATGCTGGCTCCATGGCCTGGAAATGGGAATGAGCACCACCCCCTAGAATCAGACATGACTGGACAATTGTCAAGGGGAACCTTCGCCTTTACCTTTTTACTAATAAAAAGTCAAATGTCTGTAGTATATGAATTTTACAAGTTGAGATTTATTAATATTGTTATCTCTAGCAATATATAATTTAAAAGGATAATATGCTCAATTTTACAAATCTGTTAGATGTTGTGTGATGGACAGACTACTACACTACAGTTAAAACACATTCCATCCATTTTTCATTTATGTCCAGGTTGCAAAGCCTTAAGAAAAGGCAATATTGTGGTTTTTTTAAGATCACACATGGAATTAGAAGAATTTTAAAACTATTTTCAGGAAAAATTTCATAATACAGTAAAAATCTCTATAAGGAACCTTAAGACAATAACATAGTAAAAGCAGCAGCCATGCAGTAACACAGAAAAGCATAGCTGTGTCAAATGATACACTAAAAACCTGCTCAGATTAATAACATCTTCATTTGGCATCTATGGATAAATGCCAGCTGAGCTTTCCTGCAGAAAGTGTCCCTGGAGATTAACATCAGTATAACTAAATGAATAGTCTTGGTTGTCATGCAGCCTAAACATGACTGATGTTATGCATCAAACTTCTCCTCTTCATTTAATGTGCTGCTTCTCTAGACAAGCTTGCCCATGCAGCTATTTTGAAATTACATCTGAGTCAGGAATCATCGTGCACAAATGAGGTTGAAGACAGGATGTGTATTAGAAATTTAAATCTTCACTGGTCCCCATCCTCCTTGCATGAACAAAGAAGAACAGAAATGCTGTACTCATCTGTGCACTAGCAAGATTATTTTTGTCAGTTTCGAGGTTAATTTGTACATTTGCAAAGGCAATACTTGTACAGTACTAATTTATTGTTTATTTATTTATTTATTTATTTATTTGATTTTTATCCCGCCTATCTGGACCAACAGTCCACTCTAGGCGGCTTACAATATAAAATCAGAAAATAAAAACAGTATCAAATACATAATAATACAAAATAAATAAAAATAGAAGAGTAAAGGAAATCAAGAATTGCACAATTGCAGAGTTTTCAGTAACTTCCAATGAAGCTGTATTGATTTTACATGTGGTAATTATAATAACTGATAGAGTTGTTTGCTTATTTATTTTTATGAACCACTTTCAGCGTAACGCATTTTGGAAATTTTGGTATAAATATAAATGGACTATAGTTATGATTATGATGATGTGAGTTCTTGGCATTTTTCTATTGAAATGAGCCAATCGTCCTGAGCTTGCTCTCTGTGCAGCTTTCGCTTCACAAAGGGACAAGACATTAGATTTGCACAGAGGCATTTTGCACAAAATGTGGAAACCGCCACAGAAAATAAGCTCTTGTTGTTTCACTCTTGTATTGAAGTGGAGTAATCTCATTGAGGTAACCATTCTCAACATGCTATCGCAACGTGCTGAGAATAAGGAAATTAGCAAGATTTCTTCACATTCCTAGTGTGGACCCTCATGAGTGCCCATTTCCAATCAATGTTCATACAGTGCCCTAGTTTCTCAAGTAGTCAAAACTGTGGATGCTGAATCATTACTCTCCTGCTCTAGAAGCATTGATTCCATTCATTCTTTGTAGCCTGAAAAGAGTCACTGTTTCTGTAAGATTGACTCTCAAGGCTAGGGTAGGGGTGACATTCATTGAATGTAAGCAATTAACCTGCACAGTTTTTAGAAGTAGGTTTGATCTTATTGTAGTGGGGAGATGATTAATCCTCCTCTTCAATGTCCCAGAGAAATCCCACCCTCTGGAGCTGCTGCAGCTGAGAGAAGGGAAGCTCCTGCTAGTACTAAGAGAGGCTTCCTTTCTGGGACAAATAGTTTCAGAAGGAGGGGAAGGCTAAATTCCCTCTCTTTGCCTTGTGATCCTGATCTTTCCTTTAGGCTACCACAATGGTTATTTAATATATGAAACAGATGCATATTTATTGCTTACATGCATTAATATAATATCTAGTCCTAGATGGTACCTCTTAGGAGAATAAGGTTAATCATTTTTTCAGGATTTTAGTGGATGTAGTCTCTCATTTTTGTGAATTTGTAATATAATCCTGTAGTGGTTGAGTTGCTGAAGAAAATAATATACAGTATATACCCTATTTCCCCGAAAATAAGACCTAACCTGAAAATAAGCCCTAGTATGATTTTTCAGGATGTTTGTAATATAAGCCGTACCCCAAAAATAAGTCCTAGTTAAGTGAAACCCCGCCCTCCACCACTGTGCAGCAACCAGAAGATGACATGACTGTAAAATAAAACATCCCCTGAAAATCAGCCCTAATGTGGTTTTTGGAGCAAAAAATTAATATAAGACCCAGTCTTATTTTTGGGGAAACACAGTAGCTATGGCCAGGAGCAGCTGTTTGAAATTTGAAATTGTTTTCCAGATAGTCCATGGGTCAGTCACATTTTTCTAAAAAAGAGTTAGTGCCATAATGTTCTTTTTTCCCTTCCCTTCAGAGGTTTGGCCTCTGAATGTTACAATGATATTTACTGTAATCTGCCCTACTGAAACTTATTAAAAGATCAAATATTCAAAAGGAGCTTAGGTTATAGTCCTTTGAACTGTACTACTTCAGAAAGAATGTGCATGTGTGTATGTGTGTGGAATTACATTACATTCCTCTCTTCTTTTAAACTCATACTTGAAAAAAGTTTAATGGGGGGGGGAAATTACGTGTCCCAATAAACCTGGATTTAATGTTATTGTTCTTTCTTTCTTTCTTTCTTTCTTTCTTTCTTTCTTTCTTTCTTTTCCTTCCTTCCTTCCTTCCTTCCTTCCATCCTTCCTTCCTTCCTTCCTTCCTTCCTTCCTTCCTTCCTTCTTTTGATACTCCACCATCCAGAATGCCCCAATGAACATACTCACTGTAATGTATTCAAATTCTGAGGGCATCCACATTAATTCTGAGATGGTCCAGTCCCCTATGAGTTGGACTACAGGTACTTGTGTTTTCTATATCTGAACAAGCTCAAGAGTTCCTGGAGGCTAATTCCTCATCAAGGAAACATTAACAACTGTGCATCTATGGAAATGTAAAAATTGTTATTTAGTGTTTCAGGTTTGCCAGTCTTTTTTTTTTAACTGTACTAACATTATGTGCTAACTCCCTTCCCCTTCCTCTACAGGACTTATGGTAGTAGCAGTATTACAAAGTCAACCACTTCTTCTGAGTCATTGACAGAAGAAATTGTAGAACCTGGATCCAGAAGAGAAACAATTGCTAGTTTTACAGGTAGGGTAAATTTGTTTGACTATGTATTTGAATTTTCTTGTGTTCTTGTTATATCCCAAAATATTACATGTTAGTAAGTTCTTGTATCCTAGCTTTGTGTGTGTGTGTGTTCCATGGTGACTTCTAATCTGCATCTTTCTCTCTGTTTTTCTAGTGGTATTTAATAAAAGAAATGCTTGATGTGCCATGAAACAGTGAGATGAGGTTCCCATTGCCCGAACCACAAGCTGCCAATGTCACAATGTGGTTGCCTTTATTATTTCTCTCCTCCACTTTCAATCTGCTGTCTTGATTATGTCACATTATGCACAGCTTTTATCTTGAGCTGTCTTAAGACATTTGCTACCTAAGGCAAAGCAGCAAATATTTGTCCTCCATCGAGGTGCCCTGTCCTCAAGGCTCATTGTGTTATTTTTGCCCTTGAGGCATAAAATTCCACAACCCCTTTTCCTCTTCTGTTGACAGTTTAAACAATATATATTATTTTATGATATATTAAATAAGCAATGGTTTTCTTCCCCTTTTTTGACACCCTGGTTCTGCTGCCTGAGTCAGTCAGCTCACTTTTTACCCAGGATTATCCTGTTTTTCCTAAACATTACTGAGGACATGTAATGTAACTTAGCAGCAGCCCTGTACCATTTGCATGATGTCATCATGCTTTGATGATTGCCATACTTCCTAAGGGAGAGGTATGTATCTTATAGGAAATATAATCTATGTCATAATTCTCTACATGTGAAATCTTAGTTAAGTACAAAATCATTCTTTCTTGTGGTATGCCAATTCAATAGATGTCCAGGTCAGGTGGGAGGAAGTGCCAGAGCAGCTGACCAAACAAGACCTAGAAAAGCGTGTGGATGTTTTCCTCACAGAGACAGAAACCATTTGGTTATTCGACATGCCAACTGTCATGGTTTCTACAGAGTCTGAGGAAGTTGACAGCGTGAGGTAGGCAGAATTCCCTTCTATTGGGCTTTCTACCTTTAGCTTCTCAAGAGATTTGAGATTATTTCCTAATTGGTAATAAGACTGCAGACCCTCAAACTATTGTCTCTCAACCATGATATATTATCCTCATTTACTGTGAAGACAAGCCTCAACATGTTCACTTAGCAAAAATTATTTAAATCAGTGGAGCTCTGACACTACAGAGGCTCTAGTTCTTTTCCTCTGGAAAGCAAAAGACTGAGGACTGTTATCCCCAAAATGGAGAGGCTAGGACTGAAAACAGCAGTACTGAGGATCAAACTAAATGTTAAGGAATGTACTGTATATTCCTTCCCACAAAAGATTTATGTGGAGACATGCCTCAGCCGTCATACTAGCAAAGTAAGCCTTTGTTCTGTACATCCTCTCCATCTTTTGCCGGATGTATCCTAGCAACAAAGTAGCAATGTTTAAAGATAATATTGAACCATGGTTTAGCATTACATTGACAAGCCTTTGGGGCTGGGCATTCTTTTCCCCTCCTCTGTTGTGACTATACAGAGGAGGTTAGAATGGTTGCCTCCAATTTTTAATTCATTGCTTTCTTAGCAGTATTGTTGAATTAATTATGGTTAATTGTAACTAAAGCATGTGGAAATGAGAGAACTTCGCACCACAGTTTAATGATATTTAAAACGAACCAAAGTTCAGAATTCCAGTGCTGAATTGTAACTCATAATCTAAAACATAAGCAGAAGTGTCCAGCTGCTTAATGGTTAATGGTTTTATTGAACTCTCTCTCTCTCTCTCTCTCTCTCTCTCTCTCTCTCTCTCTCTCTGTGTGTGTGTGTGTGTGTGTGCAGTGCTCATATTCAAGACTTAGGCATATAGCAATGTACTGCCAAATCATAATTTAGGATGATGCCTACACTAGGACAGTAGCAGCTGATTGGATAGCTCAGTGTTTTATGTATCTACCTGCTGAGCCAGAGTTTGGGAGTTTGACTGTGACTCCTGGGAGTAGAAAGCATGAAGAATTCAGCTTGAGAACTGACTCCCCTCTATCTTTGCAAATAGCGTTGCCAGTTTTTAAAAAATTGAAAGAGTTTTTCCTCTGAATGCTTGAGAGCTGTTCTTGCACTATCACTTCCCATTCTAAAAAGAATACATTGTGATTTTTAAAATAGGAAGAGAAAAGAACTCACACCCACCAGTCCTAATCACATTTACTTAGATGTAAGCTGTATCTGCCAAAAATCTTGGCTTTTTGAACTGCTATGCAACAAAAGTGGATCAAAACTACAGCTTGGATTACATCTGTAATACAATGAAAGAAATCCTAAACATTGCTGTGTCAGGAGGCAATCCATATCACTTGCCTGAGGGCTATGTAACTGCATTGCAGCATTTTAACAGTCTTGTTATAGAACAGCAGACTCCAAAGTGCTTCACACAGCACAATTGTCCGTATGTCTATTCAGAAGTAAATCATATTAAAGCTCAGTGCAGCTTATTCTTAGATAAATGGAACTTCAGCCACAGAATGCCACATGTATTAAAATACCACTCTATCTTAGAATACCCTATTTAAGTAGTCTGTCTCTATCTGCGGCATTTAGATGCTACTAGAGAAACTGTGGTATGTATCTACATCATTGCATTAGGACAAGACACATGCTACGAAAGGTTGCACTTTTTCAGAGATAGTGCAAAAGTGCTATCCTATACCCTTGTGCAATAGGATGCCCCACTAGTTGTATATCCATTTGTGTAGCTGATTCCATCTGCAAATGGTTCCACAACAGGTCACACAACCTCTGCTTGTGCAGTTCCTCACATACTGGTATAATCACTGCACCCATGCTCATGGAAAATTTCACTCCACTGACATTATGTTGGATTTAGGCCCTGAGGAATAAGGCATGTTTGTTGTTAATTGGAAAAAGTTTTGCCTCTGAAAGGAATAATCAAAGGGAGTGTGTTTGTTTGTTTATTGAACATATACCACACCCATCTTATGGCAAGCCACTGCTCCGAATGGCTACGAATGAAATAAACACAGGTAAACAAAATACAAAGATTGTAAACAAAGAACAAGTGGGAAAAACAGAAAACCCACCCAAAAACCCAGTTATATAACAAACATCAGATAAACATCAGATGGCAGATATAAAACAGCTAATTAAACAATGCGCAGTAAACAATTGACATACAGCTGTCACATGATTAACAAGGATTAGATTTAAAAGGAGTAAGGGTTAAAAGCCAGGTTTTAATTTGCTTCTCGAAATTTATGAAATGCACCTTCACTGCACGTGAATTCCACAGTGAAGGGGGCCAGAACTGATTTGAAATGTGTATAGATGGTTCTTATTTATTAGTATTAAATGTGCAATTGCAAATACAAAGGAGAGAAGAGATGGAAGAAAAAGATGAGGGGAAAGTAGAAAGAGAAAAGTAAACATACATAGAATATAGTCATGGGCTAGACATATATGTTAAAATAAATTGACCATATGTCAAAAATTGATTGAAGGTAGCATCTGTAAAATACAGGTTGATATGCAGATAAAGCAACAAGATCCTTGACCGCTGAATAATGTATAGAGAATTTTTGTACTTCCAAACTTGGACCAGATTTTTTTTTAACAGTAAGAGAACACAATATCTAACCATATTCCCCATCTATTAAATTCCTACTTAGAATAATATAATTTAAAAGTAAGCAAGAGTCTACAAATGCAGGATTTTGCTTAAATAGAATCATCTGATATATTACAAATATCAAACAAAGGTAGCTACCACTGTATTTGTCCACATTACTGACCAGAAAGAAATGCTGGTCAATTTCTTGTAAAAGAGATGTAATATATCCAGCATGCACAAAATATCAATTTTAGCTGGATTTAACATAATTTTAGGTATAGAGAAGCTTTAGATAATGAATATAAGGTAACATCCTGGTGTCAGTCCTTCCTCCTTCCTCCTTTCCTGCCTTCCTTCCTGCCTTCCTAAAATATTGTATTTGATTTTTAAAGGAAAAATAATGCAATTTATATGGAACTCTGTAAAAACAGAGTGGGCAATGATCGCTATACCAACAGAATGATGCAAACACTTAACGGAGCCCCGAAGGCAAAAGAAGTACAATGTGACAAAATTATCATGGCTGACAAAGGTAAGTAATTATTTGGGAGAGTATTTAGAGATCACCATTGAGACACAGAAAGAATTGCAATCTAGACTGTAACTTCTTTCACATGGAAACAAAGTTTAAGAACCACCTTTTGCATTGGTAAGTACCTGTCTCCCCGAAAATAAGACCTACCATGAAAATAAGCCCTAGTATGATTTTTCAGGATGCTCGTAATATAAGCCCTACCCCCTAGTTAAGTGAAACACCGCCCTCCACCACTGTTCAGCAACCAGAAGATGACATGACTATATTTGAATAAATGTAGATTGTTGTACATTAAAAAAATAAAACATCTCCTGAAAATAAGCCCATGGCTCTCAGCCAAATTATTTTCTCATTTCATTGTGTAAGGTGCTTTTGTTGAATAACCTTGATCATGGTAATTCTACATGGCTCTCAGCCAAATTACCGTATTTTCTCATTTCATTGTGTAAGGTGCTTTTGTTGAATAACCTTGAATGAAGCAAAAATTCTACAAGAAATATAAAGGAAATGTTTTAAGATGTTGATGGATTGTAGAGTTTTCCTAATTATTACCAGAGTTGGTTTACACATGGCATAGCTGTTTTCTACCTGGATTTCTCCACACTAGATGGAGATTTCTTAATTTTGGGTTAGAAAAGTGGTGTGTGTGTGTTATACACAGAAAAATACGATATACATCAGTTGGTTAAACAACCCATCTGGTTAAAGTAAGGATGCATTAGAAATAGATTTCTCTTTTGATGTGATCCCTATTTTGATAAGAACTTGCCCAGGCCTTATTACCCCTAGACTGGAATGCAGTCTGTAGCGAGCACGCTGAAGCCTCTACCAACTCAGGCCTCCAGGAGTGCTCACTCTTCTTCTTCAGTTGCTGCCACCAATTTTATCCAATATTTTAAAAAAGACAATCGTTGTTTCAAAACAAAAACTGGTTTATTGGTTTAACAAAATAAAGTAAATCACAAAATGTTAATCAAGGTCTCTCACTCACTGACACACGCAGACTCTTCCCTCACTGACTATTTGGCTCACAGGCCCATAGACACACTCATCACTAACTCTCTCAAAATCTCTCTAATCTCTTACATCATACACCCCTTTATATATTCCAGCTCCTCCCCCTTCTGCACCACCTTCCGTCCCCTCATTGGCTGATGTTCCACTGCCCAGCTGTGACGGACAGGTGAGAGCAGGGCTGAATGCTACACAGTCATGTTCAGCTATCTCTGCTTTCCTGGAACATTGTACTGAGGCTTCAGAGGTTTTAAAAATCTGCACAAAAGAAAGTGCATATTTAAAAATGCACAAAAGGTTCACTAAAATATGGATTTAACGTCTGTATGTTTTTCTAAAATTAATCCATACATCAGCATGGCAATGTGTCATAGCAGTTTTTGATGTGCAAATCTGATAAACTGCTTGGAAATGGGGCCCATACGATAGGTCACTTTTAAGTTAAAAAAACAAAACCTTAGCAAAGCCCATGGTGGACTCACCCACGTAACTGAATTCCTTTGTAAAATAACCACAACAGAGGCATGTATGCCACAAACTGATATCTTCCAATGTCATCCCCCCCCAACAGAAATGATGGCTACTACTTGGGATTTATATGATTCTTTTCAAGCTTTGGAAGTAGCACTGCAGGAAACAATGAGCCGACCACAAAGTTTGACAGGTAGTAAGTCAACCACAATCAAAGAGCATGACAGCAGAAACATATCTATGGCTTCTGTGGACAAAGGTACCTTTTTCATTTAACATTTATATCACTGTATTTTCCATGTAATGTTTCAAGCATTGCCTATGTACCATAATGGGATCCTGTAAGCCATTACACAGGGATGTAACTTCATCCTTTTCACATAACTCTGACCTTAGGGTGGTGGTAGGGGAGATATTACAGCTGCTTTAGGAGTAAACCATGGAAGAGTGGCCTGTTTAGACAACCTTCTTATAATTTTCTGATCTGATCTGGATCAAATTAACACTCATTTAATAGCACAATTTTATGGGTGTTATTCTGAAGTAAATCTAAATGAATTTTGCTATGAAGAGAATAGCCTTTGGTTAATTGTGCTTTTCAGTTATAAGAGGTTGCACTGGAAGATGACGAAATGATTATTTTCATTGCAACAAGAAATGTATGTTGATTATAAATGGGAAAATATATTTCAGCAATATTACGGTTACAAACATGGGACATAATGTGTGTGTAACTACATTAACACAACTTATTAAAGCTAGGGAAGCAGAAAATATATATATCAGAAATAAAAGCATTTTAGTTATGAACTGAAATTTGAAGATGCAGTATTCTACAGCAATGGTTACCAGCATTGGATAACGCAGATGTTCTTGGACTGCAACTCCCAGAAAAGCCAGCCAGTATAGCTCGTGGTGAAGGCTTCTGGGAACTGCAGTCCCAGAACACCCAGGTTACCGAAGGCTGGCAACCTCTATGAAATATTGGGTACAACATAAGAACCACATGTAAGGAATTGTGCGGGTTTGTCTTACCTAGCACTTCTTTGCTTTATAGGAATGAAATTAATTATATTATTTTGTATTTCTCCTTTATTGTTATGGAAATATTGCAAAGATGATGTTTGCTATTACATGCTTATTTAAACCCAGTAATAGTGGCAATAGCTATTATATTGTTAAATTAGTTTTTATATGCCGAGATCAATCTCTGTTACCTTATATGTTTACTTTCACTGGCATGTAAGTGGTGCCAGCACTCTGTAGAGGAAACTCTCAAACTAAATGCACACAGAGGCACACACGCAGACACATAGGCACACACCCCTGCAGAATTGGAATAGAAGCAGCCTATGGAGTGGGTGAGCAACCATAGCCTTCTGTGACATTTTTGGGCTGCAACTCACATAACCCCTCCTATTGGCTGTGCAGGAGCTGCAGGCCAAAAACATCTGAAGGGCTACCATTACCCACCCCTATCTGGGACCAACCAAATCTGGTTGTAGATGACAATACACAATAAAGTGCAATAACACAGTAGGGAGCTGAGAAGTATGTATTTTATTATTGATTAATGAATGGGTCTATATGCCATTGTTCCTCAAAATTCAAGGTCAGGTCATAGAACTACAGGCAGAAAGCAAGTAATTAATCATTAATATCAATCTGCCATCAGTTTAGTAGAAATATTGCTTTCTTGTACCCTTTGTGTCAGTTATAATTTTGTGCAGAAGAGTTTTAAATCAACTGGAAGGACCATAGAAGCAGGCTAGGTCATGCTGAAATCAGATCCTGCAGGTTCCTTCCCCTGAGTACTTCTCAAACCATATGAGATTATTCTGTTACATGTCTCTGCTATGACTTCTGTTTCCCTGCCTCAGATAGCAGAACGTCAAGTTCCATCATTGATCTTGAAAGTGTAATTCTCTCCCAAATCCAAGAAGAAATAGAAGATCACTCAGAAGCCATACTGAAGTCTGAAAAATTTCATCAAGACTTGTTTTACATGGAGAGGATCTTAATGGAGAATATTTTCCAGCCAAAACTTGCAGTTTATCGACAGCTTCCTGTCCTCTTAGGTACACGTGGTATCATTTATTTCATTCTCTGCCTGAGTTGGGATAGCTTTTCATTCTTGTTAAAATGACTGCAAATCGAAGTGAGTGTGATCAGATGGGAAAATAGCTGGCATTTTGGACTGCTTATGGTGCAGTTTGGTGAGAGCTCTTCCCTGCTGGCCACATGGTGTCCGTGAGATTGTGAACTAGCCTGATCCTAGTCTGTGCCCCACTACTTTTGGGGATTGGCTGGAGTGGTTCCTCCATAGATGGGTCTTTTTATGGGAGATTGCTCCCAACAAAGTGACTCTTTCCAGTGTGATCAGATGTGATTCTTTTTCATTGAAGGAACATAGCTAGGAAGGATTGGTCAACTCACTGCAAATGAATGATCCCAGCCTTGAGTTATCCTTATTTAAACAAAACAGATCCTAGTTACTGAAATTTGGATTACTATTTCTTCTTGAAGCAAATTGCCAAGATTGTATAAAAACTATGTTTGGGGACAATGTTTATGCTATGTGTGTTCTGAGACAGTTTGCCTCATCCTGGGATGTGGGAGCTGTGAGTTCAAAATCTGTCTGTAGTGTAGTGTGTTATCATACAATTCTTTCTTCCCGTCCAGTTCACAAACTGTAAAACAGGGGACTGTATTATGCAGATTCATTGGAACAACGCATACAATAAACACAATAAATCACTGTGTAAATGAGAAAGGATGTAAAAAACTACCAGTAGTCAGACCACCCCCCTTAATTATCCCAGTACTGTAGTCCTGCTTTTGTAATCCTGCTCCAGCTTAAATGGCTTCTTCTTCCTCTCTTTCTTTTCTTCTTACCCTCTCTTCCTCATCCTGCCCACATCTTTCTTCCTCTTATGCTATTGACCTTTCCCTTATAATTTTCCAGCCATTTTCCTCAACAATTACCATCCTGTAATTTGAAACGCAAGGAACACGGTTTAGCAAATTATACACAAAAAGTTAGTTGTGTTGTTGCTCCATAAGATACAACATATCCAAAACATACAAGCAAATGCAGCAGCTGGGTGATCCAGTAATTAGGGAACTTGGCAAAGTTACCTTCTTGAATGATGACTCCCCACATTTACCCCAGCCACCAAGGCCAGACGAAGTAAGGCTCCTTGAGGAATTCTGAAGGTCTAGTGGGCGCTAGTGCTCTCAGTACCCACTAAAATACTTCAGGAGCACACAAGCTTTGATGTTTTCCATCCAGGCAATACCAAAAAGAAAAAGAAAAACGAAAAAGAGAGAGAGAGAGAAGAATAAAAGAAAAAGAACAAAACTTTTGAAGCCACAAGGTCTTTTATTTAAGATTCACCTTCAAAATTGAGCTTTGCAAGCTAAATGATTTGCTGGTAGGTGTCACAGGGGTCTTATCTAGCAGTGTGTTCTGGTTTTTTTTAAAAAAGGCACTGGTTGATTCACCTTTTGAAAATCTAAAGGCTGGTTGCAATGATCTCTTGCCTTGGTGAATCACACAGGTCCCTGAGTTGGCAGAAGTAGAGAAAAACATTACACTTTTTATATTAGCAAAGAACAAAAACATTGATGAAGGAAACCTGGAGGAGCTTTGGTTTAATAGACAGCGCCACCTCCAGGCATAGCTGGTGCCTGCCACTGAAACAACCGGAGCAACCTGGGAAGAGTTGGAAAAGAACAACACCTTGAATACTAAGAGAAGTTGATTTAAGAATGGAAAGAGTGTTTACTATTGCTTCCTCCCAACCTGTTGCATCATATCTTAGAATTGCAGAGCTGGAAGGGACCCTCTGGATCATTGAGTTGAGCCCTGTCAAGGAGTCATGGTGGGGAAATCAAACTCCCAACCTCTGACACATGCCTAAACCACTGAGCTATCCATGCCACATAATAAGTGGCGGCTAGTGCCCATTGTGATTGGTGGGGCTGAAGGCACAGTGGGCAATAGTGGAAGCTTTAGCTGGGACCGAGGGTGAAAGACACCCAAGGTGGGGAAGGGGACATTCTCTCTCTTCCTCTTTCTGCCTTTCTCAAACAGGCAGGCAAGCAGGGATTCACACATAACACCCACAGAGAGGCCAGCCATCAGGCGTGCACTCAGACCCTCCCTCGTCCCCACACCCTCTTTAATTCTCTCCACAACTCATCTCAGGCGCAGGGTGGTGGTGGCCTGAGCTGGAACAGCACCCTATTTGTCTAATAAGGATCAGGCCCCACTACCCCACAAGCCGTGCTTTGCCAGTCAGGTCCCTCCTGAATGGGACGGATGGGGCTGCTGAGGAAGGAAGGAAGGAGCCAAAGTTGGCCATGGATCCTAAGATAACTAACTTATGGAGGAGGAAAATGAGGAGAAAAAGTCTTGTCCGTTCCTCTCTCTGGCAGCTCCTGCATCCCTCATGGTTGAAGAAGGATTTTTCAAATGGCACAAGAGGCTGACAGAGGGTGGAGCCTGTGAGAGCCACTCCGTGTGTCCATTCATTTATATGAGCATATTTCGGAACCCAGTGTGGTGATGTCTGTTTGGGGATGGAATGACACGAACATTTCCTCTGTTTAGAGCAAGGTGTCAAATCTGAACGAAGTGAATCTGTGTCTGAGGTGGAATCAGAAAAGGAGGAAGAAGCAGAGGCAGAGGAGGAAGAAGCAGAGGATGTGCTATCTGTCAGGTCATCTCTCTTGCTAGAACTTGGTGAAGGGCAAAAGGACATACCGCCGCCCTTTATGGAAGCCCTGTGGTCCTATGGATGTGATTTGACTAGAGGCAACAATGTCAGCTGTATGGCTTGGAACAGGCTGAACCCTGTAAGTGATTGCTAACTCCCCTCTGTTCTTTTTTTAAAAAAATATAGCACTTCTCACTGTAAAATGGCAGCAAGGCAGAGAAAACAGTCGTGGCTAGAGATGGTGGTATTTGTATACAAATATCCCCACGGAGCTGGAGTTAACAAAGGCCCACCCCCTGGGTCCAGACCATCCACTCACACGTCCGGTGGTGGCCTCGCTCATCCTTCCAGTCACTCACAGAGCCCTGCTCTCTTCCTGCTTGGCGAGTGATTTGACAGTCATGTGTAGGGAGACTCATCTTCCCTCCCCTTGCCTGGAGTGGCTAGCTTGGCTAGAAGACAGCGGGGCTCCAGGAGTGATTGGAAGGATGAGTGAGGCTGCCAGTGGCTGGATGGTCCAGCCCTAGGGGACGGACCCTCGTTAACTCCAGCTGCAGAGGGATATTTATATTAGTATACAAATACAATTACCTCCATCTCTAGTAGTGATCTAGTGTGCAGCCTTGCTTCCATCAGAAGTCTCTCTATCACTAGGCAGAATGGGGAAAGACCTTGGGTAGTCCTAAAGTACTGAAGTCCTGTTGTGGCTGAAGTCCTGTTGTGGAGTTAAACAAATTGTATAGATTTTAGACAAAAATTGCTGTAAGTTAAGAGATCTCCATAGGCGTTATCTGTTACCTATTGAGCCATATCACTCAGCACGCAACAGATGTCTACAGAGATTTTTTAACAGGTAAATTCCCTTCTTTTGGAGGTATTTTGGGACTGTGTAGCTTGGCCAAGACTATGCAGGCTGGCTTGTCCTCCCCAGGAGATGCGGTGGCAAATCAAATTCCTGATCCCAGGTTCTCCACCTCATTGAACAATCCAGCCAACTTCAAAGAACATACATACTACTATTTCAATGCTTTGTTGTTGACAGGCGGTGTAAATAATCTTTATTATTGGTTTTTAGGATCTTTTGGCTGTTGGCTATGGGCAGTTTCGCTTTAAAGAGCAGAAGAAAGGCTTGGCTTGCTGCTGGTCATTGAAGAACCCTCTGGTAATATAAGAAACAAAGTGTACTTTGTATTCTCGAAGACTTTTACGGCCGGAATCCAGTGGTTGTAGGTCTTTCGGGCTGTTTGGCCGTGTTCAGAACACAGCCAAACAGCCCAAAAAACCTACAGTACAACAACCAAAGTGTACTTTGATCTTTTCTCTGAGTTTTAATTGAACCAGTATTTGATATTGTAAAATATCATGATTATTTATTTGTAGATTTCATGTTCATGGTTGATTGGGGTTTAACAAAATCCTTTTAAAAGATCACATATAGTTCATTTACAGCCTGACTTCACTTTTTGAAACAGAGCAGGTTTCTAATCCACCTGCCTGGTTTATAAGTACTTACTCAGAAGTAGGACAGGAGCAGTATCAATAGTGGTTATAGATGGGCACCTGCTGATGGCCCATATCCCAGCTGGGAGCTACTGACAGGAACCGCTGGAACCTGCTCTTCCATTTCACCATTGCAGTGTACATGTTTGCTCTCCCTTGTTCTGATCCAAGATGATATTATCTGGTTGCTCTTTGGCTTTCTACCTGGCATGCAAGCAGCAGCAAAGGTCACAGTGGTGGTTAGATAGTAGACTTGAGGACAGAAAGAGGTCAGTGGAATGAGGACAATGGAATACAGCCTGCCCAGAACCTTCTAAGATTTGGAGCTGGCATTGCTGCCTTATTCCCGTATGTGCATAATACATGCGTAAATCATGTTATAAATAGTACAATACAACAAACATATAAATCAAAATATAAACAGTAAAGCCAGTCCCAAGCAGACTTCACAAAGTGATTTTATCAAATTTGTATCAGTGAAGGCTTATTCTACAACAGATGCAGTCAGTATACTCTTCACTGAGATTACCCATAGGATACTGGCTTCCCTTTGTATTTGCTTATTATAATTTTTTTAAAAAAATCAAAAGTTTATGAAATATTGCAGTTTGGTACATCCTTCCATTGGAACAAGTAGTGTAGGTTAGCATTATCACCTAGAGGCTACATAACAAAGTCTCACAATCTGGTGTATGTTTTACCATTTTTATTTTCAAAAATTAATTCTTACACTTCTTTTTGAAGTTCAAGTATATGCATGATTGACTGATATTTAATGGCAGGATAATTAATGGGTGAATAAATAATAAATAGGCAGTTGTAAACATGTGCCTGGAAAGCAAGTAACATTGTCGCCAGATTGCCTGGCTTTTCCACACTTTGAATTTAAAAACATTTCTGGGGGCATTAAATATCTGTAATACATGGACCTTCTCTCACCTAAAGCCAATTTCCTTTTTTTTTCAGTGGCCAGAGCGTGTTTATCAATGTGCTCATGGGGTAACGGCGCTGGATTTCTCTGTCGCCAATCCAAACCTCCTAGCAGTCGGACTGTTCAATGGGACTATTGAGATCTACAATGTTCAGACTCATAATACAACTTCTGTTTTAGATAGCAGGTTTGGTTTAAAAAAAAACATCTTGCTGGGCCATTTCTGTATCTTATTCATGCAACTCTAGCTCAGTGGTTTAGGCATCTGGCTGCGGAGACAGAGGTTGGGATTTGAATTCCCCGCTCTGCCTCCTTGACGAGCTGGTCTTGATGATTCATGGGGTCCTTTCCAGCTATGCAGTTCTAAGATCATGATGATAATTACTGTTATATAGTCCTGGTCTGTAGGATGAAGCTGTAAGCCTTGTATCAGATAAATGTCAGTAACACAAATACTTAAGAGTGTTTAGCCTTTGCCTGGTTTGGAAAAAATTAGAAGGTTCTTTGATACTGTTATGCTTTGCCCACTTTTCAGAATGGTGAGGAGTTCCAGGAGGCAACCCTGACTGAAATTTGTGTTCTTATGGAAGGAGATCAATGAGCATTTATAGTGTTCTATCACAATTAAGCTCATTTACAAATGTACAGGCTAAGCATAGATCAAGGCTATGGCAGGCCACTCCAGGAGGCCGCCTGGTCTACTGCCTCATATTAGATTTCCAGAGAAGCATCTCTGTACCCTGATGCTGTTAGTTTACAGGGTTCCTGCCCAAACACAATATATACATGGGTCTCTCTTTTAAAAAATGACAATCCTGAAGTTTGTCCCTTTTCACGTGCAGAGGACGAATTACATGATAAAAATGACAATCCTGAAATTTGTCCCTTCTAGTTCTTTTCACGTGCAGAGGACGAATTACATGATCTATAACTGGGGCAGATTGCAAGGGGAGAATGGCATGCACACTTTGAAGGAGACTTCAGGAAACACCCAGCCGTGGAAAGCAGTCAGCTCACAATTTCCTCAATACAAGCTGTACCGGGCAATTTACCTTTGACTATTATGAGCTTTTCAGCAGTTGTCTTAATCAGACCTCAGAAAAGTTACTTTTTCAGACTACAGCTCTGTGGCCATTGGAGACTATGGAAACCATAGCACTGAAGCAATATTTCATGCTCTGCTGTTAACTCCTTCCTCCCCAATCTTCCAGTCTTTCAAACACCTTCTTTTAGCTTCTCTGTATGTAGAGGCTCCATTTAGCTTATTATGTGGCATATAACTTTCATAGTTTTTAGTATATTTTCATATTGTATATACATCTCAGTGTTTCCTTCCTTCTTTCCACATTATTATGTTTTACTTGCCATGTATGCATCCGACAATTGTGTTTCAGTTAATCTTGCAAATCTATTTCAGTGAATCTCATGATAAACACTTAGGTCCCGTCTGGCAGTTGAAGTGGGTAGAGCAAGACAGGGGGACACCCGGAGAAGACAAAGGGGAGATCCTAGTCTCCACATCAGCAGATGGAAGAGTAACTAAATGGTTTGTTCAAAAAGGATTAAGCTGCACTGGTAAATATCGACACTTAAGCATAAAACATTCTGGAACATAGCTGATAGTTTTATTTGTTTGAATCTGTGCTTTTAAAAACTTACTGTAACTTAAAAAAAAATCAGTCTCTTGTATTTTCCTTATTCTTGGTAGTTACCATGAATGCTAGAGAGAGAATGGCATGGAATGAATGAATGAGTGAATCAATGTGGCAAAATGTAAACACTGTAAGATATACAGTGGGGTCTTGACTTAAGAACGGCTTGAGTTAAGAACATTTTGACTTAAGAACCACTCTCATAGGAAAATATTGACTTGACTTACATACTTAGATTTGAGTTAAGAACTGAAAAAAACCACGTGGGAGGCAGGGAAAGTGCAAAATGTGAACTTTCAGTTAACTGTTGGCCAGTGAAAAGGGTGCCTGTCTGCTTCCTCACTCCTATGTGTACAGATTATCTAAAACAGAATGCAAATGACCTTCTTCAAAAAGGTGAAATCTCACTGGCAAGTAGAGGACAGAGGGAAGGGGTTCTTCCTCATTATCCCTACTGACATATTGATTGATTCAGAAGTAGTCTGCCTGAGTTAGAAGCTTGGTTCTAAAGCCCACTCTTGAACGGGTGTGAGGTTGGCCTTTTTTAGTGTAGGGAACCAGAAGTGGCAACAAATCAGGTTGCTTCTTATACCGCTTTTCTTGAACAGTGGAGCAAGATTGCTCACAACGGTTGTGTTCTTTGTAGGTGGGAAATAGACTCCATATGATTCATGATTAAGCATGGTATTTCACATTATCTTTGTACTGTTTGCTTATGCAGACTTGATGAAATTAAAGCGAACGGGCTCTATATGATTCATGATTAAATGGGCTCTATGTGATTCATGATTAAGCGTGGCATTTCACATTATCTTTGTACTGTTTGTTTATGCAGACTTGATGAAATTAAAGCGAACAACAGGTGAAAAGAAAAAAGGAATGGAAAAGAAAAGTGAAGCCTTAATATCACGACAAGCTCCAGGGCTAGCCTTCGATTTTCATCCAAAGGTAATGTAAGCTTTTTTGTTGTTGTTGGCCCTAAATAATCTGTCAACACTCACAGAGGTCGTAGCAATCATAGCTTCACTCTAGTAGTAAAGACAGTGTTGGGTTGGGGGGGGCACTTGCCCTGGGTGGCAAATTGGGGGAGGCCTTAGGCAAACTGCTGAGGGAAATCTTGGAGGTTGTATTGGGGAAGTGATCTGCCATTGGATAGACATGTGAAGCCAGCTATGGTTTCACATGCTGGCCATTGGAGGCACTAAGACAGGAACAGAATACTGGGGGAAAGTGGCAAGAGAGGGAGGTAGGAAAGATTGACCATGCTTTCTCTGCTGTTTTTGAGGCCAAAGTAGTGGCTCTTGTACAGATAGAGGAATACAGTTCCACAGGCCTGGCATGAAGATCCCACCTCAGAACCTGCCAGTCACCCTCCCACACCTGGAAGCTTGACCTAGTTGTCTCCATTTTCTGCTTGCTTGAAGTTTGTTGCCTGTGGAGGTGGGAGAGAAGGCTGTGCTTTCTCTCAAATAATCCAGTATTTTTTACTGATTAACAGATATGGACCAGATAGGACAGACCTGTGGTAGGGGCAGATAAAAACCTGGCTGGTTTAATAAAACTAGCAGGATGGGGTAAGAGAGTCAAACTGAGTGTGGGAAAGAGGTGGAATGAGACCACTGGGATAAGAAGGATTAACGGGGTGGGGCAAAGAGCCAGTACAGAGAGCCAGGTCAAGTAAGTAGAGCTTGTCTATCCGGGTGGGGGAGCAAAATGCAGAGAGCAAAACTGGGTGGGTAAGAATAGGAGGGAAAGGATGGACAGAGTTGGGGTGGTAGAAGTATGAGGAAAGGTGTAGTAACATCCAGTTGAGTACAATATATTAGGAAAGTCTGCAGCGATCCAAGCCAGGTCACTAAAAAGTAGTGTGGGAAGATAAAGGGAGTAGGTTTTTGTGGTTAACGCTAGTGGGTTTATGAAGGAAACAGTAATGGGATCATAGAAGCAGCTGGTTTTGTTGTCTGTAGAGAAAAAGCAGGGTATGGCAAGCAAGAGCTGCAGTAGGAACAAGGTCTTGACTAGAGATGGGGGTATTCACATACTAATACCCCCGCACAGGTGAACATAACACGGGTGTGGCCCCCTGGGGCTGGACCATCCACTCACCTGTACGCTGCTGCCCCCAGCTCCGCTCTCCCTTCCAATTGCTCCGGAGCTCACAGTTGACTAGCCACTCCTGACAGAAGAAGGGAAGACAATCTTCCCTGCCAGGCTGATTAGTGGCTGGTCGACTGCAAGCTCCAGAACAATTGGAAGGGAGCACGGAGCCAGCTGCAGCAGCGGATGGGTGAGTGGACGGTCTGGCCCCAGGGGGTCGTACCCTTGTTATGTCAACCTGTACGGGGGTATTTGTGTATGAATACAAATACTTCATCTCTAGTCTTGACCTGATACAAGTCTTCACCATAGGCCTGTGAATGGTGGAAAAAAAGTGAAAGGTCCAAAAATCATGGTGAGGTGCCCAAGACAGACCTCTCTGTTATAAAAGTGGGTTTCAAAATGGGGAACTGCAAACTCAAGCCAGGTGGCTCTGATTAGGTTGTCTCTTCCAGTCTTGTTAGTCAAGGGCTGCCATTTATTCAGCATTGCTCCCCTCTCTTACCCTACATTGAAGCATGAAGTTCATTTTGTTTGTCATTTAGTTCATTTTGATCATCTGGGGGAGACCCTTCTCTTGGTTCCACCACCTTCCCAAGCTCACTTAGTGAGGACATGAGAGAGAGCCTTCTCAGTGGCTGCTCCCAGGTTTTGGAATGCTCTGCCCTGAGAAACCAAGTTGGCTCCCTCCCTCTTTTAATTCCATCATCAGGCAAATACCTTCCTCTTCAGGCAGGCCTTTAAGCATTAAGTTAACTCAGGAATGCTAGTTTTTACTTTTCAACTTACAAGTTTTAAAATGTGATATTTTTATAGTGTCTTTAAGTTTCTTATTTTATCTTGTTATGAGCCACCTTGGATCTCCTATGGGGAGAAAGGTGGCATATGAATGAATGAACAAATGAATGAATGAATGAATGAATTAAAAGTTCATTACTAAGAAACAAGAGAAGCAAAATTATTCAAAATTGACTGTTTCTCCCTCCAGGACACTAATATATATATGGTTGGAACAGAAGAAGGCTACATTCATAAATGCTCTTGTTCTTACAATGAACAATACCTGGAGACCTACAGAGGACACAAAGTATGTAGTTACACATTTTATTGGAGTCTGGCTTGGACACCTGGCCATGATTTTTGATCCTTTCACTTTTGGTGTGTGTTCTTCTTTAATACTTCATTCAAACAGAGATGTGTAATCACATATATTCCCCACTATAAAACTACTACTTATCAATGAATGACTCTTCTCCAGCTAGGAGAAACATGAGTGCTAATTCCATTGGAAGAACACATGCAATGTCATTCTTGTGGTGATTGGCTCATTTTAACAGTCTCCCAGATGCATGGGGCCCACAAACAGATAAGAGAACAACCAAGTACAGTATAGCCAGAAACCTATTACTTAGGTTGCCAGTGTAAGTGAAAGAACATAAATTGTTGAATTTATTGGTGTATTAACGAAGTTAAAGCTTGTATATCTTGTCATGTACCAAAGATTCTGGCCTATACAGTGGTGCCCCGCATAACGAGCGATTTGTTTAACGACGAATCCTGCATAGCGATGTGTTTTTTGCGATCGCATAACAATGTCTTTAATGGGTAAACATCGCATTGCGATGATCGGTAAGCGTTTCACTTACCAATTTCCGCATTGCAATGTTTTTTTAAACAACTTATTGGCAGTTCCAAAATGGCCGCCGGGTTAAAAAAAATGCCGCCTGCTGTGTTTTTGCGCCCTTTCCTTGCTTACTGGGCAGCGAAAATGGCGGCCGTATGGAGGATCTTCACATAACGGTGAGTTTTTCCTCCCATAGGAACGCGTTAAATGTGTTTTAATGCGTTCCTATGGGCTTTTTCTGCCCCGCATAGCGATGAATCTGTATAGCAACGATTTTTTGGGAATGGATTATCGTCGCTATGCAGGGCACCACTGTATTTAAATCTCTTGCTACTTGTATCATTGGAGCCTAATTGTATCTTAACAAGGCAGCAGGAGCTTTCATTCTGGTTAGAAAGGCTACAAAAGTAGCAAAACAAAATTTTCTTTTGAGGAATCATACAGGAACTCTCACAGAATTTTTGTGTGTGTGGATGTGTGTGTGTGGGGGTGTAGTCTCTCTTTTTAAGACAAAAAAGCCAGTTTCTGCAGGATTATTACAAATAGTATACTTCCAGCACAAAAGTCACATGGAAAAGACAGACAAAAATCAAGTTGTGCTGGAATGTATTACAATTTTGCACAGGGTGGCATCTTTCCTGTGCAGAAATTGGCAGTTTAATGTGTGGAACAAAAAGCAAAAATGGGGTGTGGTAAGGAAGGAAAACGAGAGTGGGCTCTTCCTTTTATGGGAAGCTGGGAAATCTCACTGATGGAGGATCATGTCTTGGCAAGGAGTTTTCACATGGTGAAACATGGGAAATTGCCAAGAATGAGAAATTTTTAAGTAGTCATCAGAACTCTGTGAAAATTCTCAGTCATTCAGCTGAGGTTATCTGGAAGTTGGGTCATGGCAACTGGATTTCTTTCTTATTAGATTGAAACGTTTCACTACTCACCCAAGTAGCTTCTTCAGTCTGAGTAGGAGGGCCTTGATATATCCTCCACATTGGTTTCACTTCCCCCTGGTCTGAATAGGCTCATTAGATGGACAAAGGGCTGGGGGTGAGCGAAAATCTCCAACACTACAGATTACTATAGAAAAGTAAGCTCACTTTTGAAAGTTCAACACACATGAGAAACTGAAGAGGGACTCTACCAACATTTACAGGAAGAAATTGATAAAATTGGAAAAGGACCATGTCATTGACAGGGTGACTTACCTCTGGTTGTATCCTGGAGAGCCCCCACCCCCGCCCGGTTGTATCCTGGAGAGCCCCCTGGACTTCCCAAGATACACAAGGAAGGAGCCCCCCTCATACCCATTGTCAACAGCATAAACCCGGTAATATACAACATTGCTAAATACCTGGTCACCATCTTAGCAGCATTGGTTGGACATTCGGACCACCACATTCACAACTCCAAGGTCAGGGCACTGAAACTAAATACTGACAAAATCATGGTGTCCTTTGATGTCACATTTGTCTTCACCAGCATTCCCACCTATAATGCCTTAACAATTGTATAAAGGAGAAGAAGGAAAACAACACCCTCTTCACCAGAAGCAGCCTCAACTCACACCAGAAATCCCTGCTCCTGGACCTGTGTCTGAGACCCACTTATGTCACCTACAAATGTGAATTTTACAGACAGAAACATGGCTGTGACATGGGTTCCCCAGTGTTGCCCATTGTTGGCAACTTATACATTGAAGAAGTGGAAAAGAAGGCAGTAAACACCTTCCAGGAGACAACGCCAACCCATTGGTTCAGGTATGTGGATGACAGCTGGGTGAAGATCAAAATTCAGGAAGCACAGGCCTTCACAGACCACATCAGCACAGTGGACCCAAATATCAAGTTCAGCAGGGAAGACACCAAAGACAACCGGCTGGTTTTCCTGGACTGTGCAGTCATCATAGGATCCATGGGCAGCTTAGGAACTGAAATTTATAGAAAACCTACACACTCTGATCAATACTTGTGGTTTGACTCTCACCACCCATTGCAACACAAACTAGGGGTTATCAGGACGCTAAACCACAGAGTGAGAAACATCCTCATTTGCACAGAAGCCAAGAAGAAGATAGACATTCGAAAACAGCCCTTAAGGCTTGTGGATATCCAAAATTGGCCTTTAACAAGGCAATGTCCTGACCCAGCAGGACAATATAACAATCTGGGACACAGAGGTGATGGAAGAACCTGGTCATTCCTTACATGTCGTGTGTGTCTGAAAAGCTCAAAAGGATTTTTGGTAAACACCACATACCCAAGTACTTCAAACCCACAAACACACTAATACAGAGACTCATCCACCCAAAAGACCAGACACCAAAACATAAAAGGAACAGTATAGTATATGCAGTACAATGCAAAGAGGAGTGTTCAGAGCTCTACGTTGGAGAAACCAAACAACCACTAAACAAGAGAATGGCCCAGCACAGGAGGGGCAATGGCTCAGGATCACAATCAGCCGTGTTCCTTCATTTGAAGGACAAAGGACACTCCCTTGATGACCAAGGTGTACTCATTTGAGACCTAGAAGATAGGTGGTTTAAGAGACGGGTCAGTAGGCCATACATGTGTATATAGAAAATCTCTCACTCGGGGGAGGAGCCTGCCAAAGACGGAGTAGGACATGACTGTTTAGAGCTCCAGGACCTTTCCAAATTATTGCTTTTATTATGTTAACAATCTCTGCTCCAAAGACATAAATTTAGTCTCTATCTGTTGGTGAGGTGAAAGGACCTGTCTGGAGGAGGTGAAGTAATAAATAACAGCCAAAACAGCCAAAAATTATACCTCTCAAGATCTTGGAAAAGAGATGCCCCTTGCCAGAAGGAATGTAAGATGGTGACCAGAGAAAAAGCATCAGAAGAGACACTGACACAGGTTCAAACAGTGGGTGAGTCTATTCTTGACCCTAAGTTAAAAATGTTGAAAATAGAAATAATACAGGGAATGGCAGAGCTGTTAGACACAAAGTTGAAATAAATACTGGAACCTTTGAGGGGTAGAATTAAAGAGGCTGAAGCAGAGCTTAAAGAGCTTGAAGTGACAGTAACAAAAAATGAAGCTTCCATTCAGGCTCTGCAAAAGGACAATTTTTTTATATGAAACTACAGCTGGAAGACATGCGGAATCATAGTAAAAGAGCTAATATTAGCATGTGTGGGCGGCCTGAGGGTGTATAAAAAAGAAATGTGGCCAGTTTTATAGTAGAATGGTTTCAATCTCAATGGTCAGACCTCTCTCTAACTGTGGAAGATTTAGAATGTGTGCACTGTGCAGTTGGTTCCAGACCTCCCGAAACAAAAAAATCCTAAAGACATGGTACTTTGCTTTGCCTGCTCTAAAAAGAAAGAGGAAATACTTAAATTAGCATGAACCTCTAAAGCACTTTTGTATAAGGACTGCAAGAAACAAATCTTTCAAGAATTAGCACTGGAAACCATTAGGTGTTGAAAAGAATTCTGTCCCTACACGCAACATCTACAGGAAGAAGGAGTGAAATACAAATGGGGGTTTCCCTTCTGCCTTCAAGTCATCTCAGATGGGGTTGTCCTATCAGCTACCAACAAGGCAGGAATGGAGGACCTCCTGCAGAAATTAAAGATTGACCTTCCCATAGACATGGAGCATTTGGATATAGCTGAGGAAGAAGAAAGGGTAAAGACAAGCATGGATCAGAAATGCAAAATTCAACAGCAGTCAGAGACATCAGTAAGGGAACCACAATCACAACACTACAAACACGTCAGGGCAAGAAAAAAATGAAGAAGAAATGAACTGAAGTAATGAAATATGAAAAGAACATTTTCATATTGCTCCTCATTCTTCTATAATAGACTTAGAAATACAGTTTATTGATTTAATACTTAAAGGATAGGTATAATGTTAAATTTATAATATTAAATATATGGAAAATAGCACACCACGGGGAAATGAAACCCCTCTTACATTTTGGTCTGAGGGTTCATACAAGGATCACTGTAACAGTTAATTAACTGAGAAACGTTTTCCCCCCTCCCACAACAAATATAGGTAGTAGTAGGGTAGAAATAGGATTTAACCAGCGCCTTTTGGAAGGCAGGAACGCAAGGCAAGAATCCACAAGAGGGCAGTCTTAAGGTGGTGATCTGAGGGGTTTAGGCTGGTGGTAAAATCAATATTATGAAAATGGTAACATTTTGTTCAGTTATAAGTTGTTGGCCAGCCAGGGAGTGGGTGTGAGCGGAGGAGAGAGGTTTAAGAGGGATTAGGTGGCAAAGTATATATCTTCAAGCTGTAGAATACAGGGAAATAATTTATTCAAATATCTTTGTTTGGAACCAAACATGCAGTTAACTGCAGTGACTTTAAATGTTCAGGGTTGGAGATCCAGTAGAAAGAGCACAGCTATATCAAGTTATCAAAGAGCACAAGCCACCAATACTATTCCTTCAAGAAACACATAAGGCAATTCACAAATATGTTATT